AACTATATAACTGACCCCCATGATATTAGGCACTATATGAGGATCAAAAATCTATAAAAGTTCTGCTAATATTTAGCAAGATTAAGATATCAAAGAATGATTTCTCAAGTAGCGGCCCAGTTATTTTCCACAGTCTTGCTACATGAACACTGTCTCCTTGTTTATTGCCCATTTGCAAACTGGATAAAAATACTTTGCAGCTCTGAAAAGTGCTTTCAGGTCCCAGAATGGTAAACGTGCTAAATGCATGCAAAGAGGCATTCTTAGCAGACAGTATTCCATAGTGGGCATGCATGGTCTAGAAAAGTGATGAAGTAGCACTGTTTATCCTTTTCTAGTAAAATTAAATTATACAAATATAAAGAAAAAAATGACGCTTAGGTCCAACTTCATTACTGGTGCCACTTTACAAAAGGAAAAGAGGAAAATTAACAAAAACACATAAGAAGTGTTTTTTACCCAAATTGAAGCTACCATTTCTTTCCTTCTTAAAATAGCCAAACCCAGAGCCCCTAAAATTTTTTGAAACTCCACTAATGGACAACTAGTGATGTGCGTCCCCATCCATCATGTTTAAATTCAGTTCAAACCCCAAAAAGGATTAAGACCCACAGCAAATATTTGCAGGAGCATCCAATCCTTATTTGGACTCCAGTTACATATTAGCTAAGTCAGTTTGTAATTTGAAATAAAGATTTGCCAGAACTCATTTTAGAGACCACTAGAATGGAAAGACAGTGTCAACATTAGGCAATTTAATCTCAATTTTAGTGAATGTACAGTACCTGCCTCAAAAAAAGATTTGCAAATATCTAACAAGGAAAATAGCAAATAATACAAAAACCAAGCCATCTTGTGTAAACTGGAACTAAGAAGCTTGCTTTTGTACAAATATGTCTCTTGTGTTTAACTGACTTTAGGGTCTAAGAGGATATGAATTCTGACCACAGTTTCTTCCAAAACTGGGGGAAATTGATGATCTCTCTCCTGTGTGGATTGTCTAGTACATGAGAAACTTCTTTTATAGTGAAGAGTCTCCCAGGTTCTGGCCTTTCTCTTTATGAGGGCATTAATTTTGTTCTCTGCTGTTGGTTTTCACATAAGTGGCAGGAACTTTTATCTTTGAGATGTGTAACCCTCTGTCATGCTTGGTGAGAATCATCCAACATGATCAAAAGCTCTCGTAGAAGACGTAGAGCAGATGGCATAACTTTCTACACAAACATGGAAGACAAAAGTCACCTTCCCTAGCCATAAATCTAAAATCTTTTTCTTTTTAGGAAATTATGATGAAACTTGGAAAAGTTATTCATCACATGTCTGCACAAAGCAGATCTCTCAGAATGAGGTAAGTGTGATCCTTAAGTCTAACAGCCAGTCTGAAATAACCCCATGGTGGCACTCCAGAATACTAATCACTGGTTTGGTTTTCTCCCTCTCCACTGTGGATAATATACCTTGGAAAAACATAAAATATAAGCAATACAAGCAGAGAAGCTATTGCTCAGTAAATTTAAATGTGAGAAGAGCCTGTGAAAGCATATTTGAGAATATACAGTGACTTGCAACTGTTATTTCTAAAGGAAAATAGAGTTCATTGACAGAAGATGAGTTGTATGACTAGGGATTTTCCTGGCTTAGACACTCAGGTGTTTAGCTATGTCTGTAACTGACAGCTGTTTACAGCAGTACATAATTTTCTAGTTGAGACAAAAAAAAAAAGGTTTTCAGAGTCATCTCATATAAAACAAGGCAAAATCATAGAAATCACACAGGACCATGAACATAAAAAATTACCAGAAAATACAATCTACAAAAAGTAAAAATTAGGAAGTTAAAGCAACAGGCAAGGAATGTTTTATACAATGCAAAACTTAAGAGGGACTTATAGTAAGAAACCTACATATGGTACTGTACTTGTAGTACTTCATAACCTTATTATTTATAGAGTATGCAACTCAGCCATATGTCTCTGATCTAGTATGATATCAGAAAGTCATTAATCCTGATCCCATCCATACAGAGAACTGGAGATCAGCATGAGGCAGGCACTGCTGGCCTGAGCTCTATGTGGAGAGTTTTATGTGAAATAAGTCCGTTAACTTGAGGCATGCCCCAAAAAATTGATCCTCTCCCTCTCCCAGCCGAAGCAACTCTGTGCATAACACTTTGCTCGCCACAGCTAGGATCCTTGAGGGGTAATGAAGTATAAGGCATACCACAAAACTATTTCTAAAATCATGCAAAAGCTTTGCTGAGCATACATGAAATTGCATGATGACCATTGTTAATCTCTGCACTAACCATTCTGGAGACATTGCACTAATGGAAAATTGAAAAAGATACCCCTGAACAGCTTCTGTGCCAATATCCACTCTTCTTGGGAATTTGTATTCTTCTTATTTATTCCTATGCTCTTTCACAGTGCTTTAGACTATAGCAATTTTCAGGAAACTACTGGTGACTGAGTTCAACACTGTATAAAACATTTGTCTCAGCATGTTTTAGATCATATCTGAAACAATAAAAATAGACTTCTAATTCTGCTGAGGTCACTTGGGACCTAAATATCTCAATTCCTTTTTTTCCCTGCCTAAGTGCTTTCGGAGTTGTATTAAGATTATTCTTTTTAAAAAGTAACAAACATAACCACCTAATTTTTAATTAAAAAGTATATATATACTTCTCAATGGAAAAATCTAACAGAATCAGTAACCAGTACAGTTCCATAGGAGATTATTTTCTGATTTGAAAGTAGTGTTGAGAATGTGACTTCTAGTATATTTTACCACCTTAATAAACTAGTATTTTTAAATAAAGTATCTACACTCTGTGTCGTTATGCTACCTGAGCTTTCATGTTCACCTGGGCCAGTATTTTTGTCATCTATTAGCACATAAGTGATAGAAAGTTGAGGGAATTGGCTCTTCAAGCTACATTTGTGGCTCAAAAGGAATGAATAACTGTGATACGCAAGTACCCCCTAGTGATGAAAGGTTGAACTACAGTACTACATTAGCACTTTGGCTTGTTAAATACTGGTGCAGCTGCAAAAAGAGACTAACAAACGCAAAAAACAATACGCCATTTGATGCTCAGCCTCTGTCCTGAGTATGGCAGAGAATGCACTCAGCCTCATCCCTAACAAAACACAGGCATGAAATGCTCCAGGCAGTGAATGTTTGTTCAAAACACAGTCAGTCAAAATGAAAAGTTCTCAAAGACAAATTCTTCAGGAAAAAAAATAGAGATGATAACTACTTAAAGGCAAAGCACACATTCCTTGTTTCTGAGATTTGGCAGCTTGTGCTATAGCAGAAAATGTGTGAAGACACACATTTCACTATACAATTAATATTCTAAGAATGAGTTCGGTAATAGCCAAATTCTGAAGGGTCTTATAAGCTCAGGTAGTTCCTGTCACCCTATTTACACGATAAATTATTTTAACAGAAAAATAATAATATTTTCTTTTGTTTTTAATGAAGGTTTTCATTAAAGAACATTTTTGTAGAAAACCATAGCTAATGCTAAGAGAGATCCAAAAGTCTTGCAGGCCAGCTGGAAAAAGCTAAGAGCTTAGTAGCCTCTAACCCTAATCCAAGGAGCTGAGCAGCTGTAAATTGATGTAGAAGGAAAACAAGTGAAAGAATTATGTCTTGGCTGCACATTTAGTAAAGCAATATTGCCAAGAATGCATTGTCATAAACAGCAAAACCGAGGCACAAATTAATCAGAAAAAACTCTTTTATCATAGAATTGCTCATTAATGTGTCCATCAATACAGACCAACAGACCCTCATATTTAAAGAATATATTTCTGGCTGAAAAGCACATTGATTAGATATTTCAAACTTCAACAAAAAGCCTCACCAATTTTATTGGATAAACCAAAAAATATTCATATTTAAATTTCACTTGGTGTAAGTGTCAAAACGATAGAGATATACAGTTCTACACAACAGTAAGTCCAGCCAGTAAAGCATTACCCAGGCACCCAACTTCAAACCTACATACAGAAATGTCAACACCCTAAAAATGTTCTTTTGTCTTTGTGGCTTCAGAATCCTAAAGATTTATCAACCAAACTGATGAGACCTGTCCAAATTCAGGCAGGTTAAAAAAAAAATAAATAAAAAAAAATCCAGATTTACTAGCAATTTAAAAAAAAAAAAAGAATGCTATCAGTTAGGTATACAGCAAATGGAAAGGTGTTTACTGGAATTTCTGTAACTATTCCTTCTCCAGTTTCATTTAGAGAATTCAATTATAAAAAAATAGGACATCAATAAAACAGTTTCTTTTGAGACCCCTTCAACAATGAGTCCTTACAATGACACAGAATTGATTCCTGAAAGCATCCAATGAAGTGTTACCATAAAAATTACTTACAGTAAATAAATAAATTATCAGAAATTAAGAGGGAAGTCCATTAAAATACATTCAGAAATTCTGACATTTTCATGCTCCCTTTGAATGTTCCATGCTTTAACGGGCATGTGTAACTGAATGAAGCATTACAGAGCTAGATATTGCAGTAGCTGGACCTGATTAGACTAAGGATTCTCTTTTTCCACATTTTTTAAAACAAAACCATCATGTTCATGGAGATGGATAAGCATGGAAGGCAAATAAGTAAGTTACATATATTTTTACTGTCTTTATTATTTGTTACAAAGCTTCAGCGGTGTAGATCACTATGGAGATGAGGGTCTGAGATTTTGTACCTCCACTCTGTCTTGCACAAGTAAATTAAAAAGGACTTAGATAAAAGCACAATAAAATAGACATATCTGATAAACTATTTTCAACACAAACAGATTCTGTTGGAATGCTGAGTCAGCATATAGTCTGCTCCTATCTTACGTCCTCACTAAAGTTAAACAGTTAAAGCTGCAACATAACGACAAACTGAGAAACACAAATACAAAGAAAGCATCTATAATGCAAGAAATATGTTCCAAACATTTTTATTTAAAGTATGTGAAGGGTTTACTTACAATTCTTCTCCTTGTTTTGCTTTTCTGTCAGAAACCAGATACACACTTCCAAAGCTTCCATTGCCAAGTTTCCTCTGAATAGTGTATCTTCTTGCAATCATAGCATCTGAGCAAGCAGAATTAAATCTGGCAACAGCGACATGTTTAGCAGTTTCTTGAAATTTCAGCATTTCTCTGTGTAACAGAAACTATACAAAATTTCTCTGGAATGTAGCTTTCAAATCCTTTTACTCTTCCATGGATGTTCACAGGAAACACCTGAAACAGAAAAAAAATTTGCTTGTTAATATATTATTCTTATTAAAACCTTCATTTAATTCTATGGCAGTGCTTGTAGCGCTCAGCTTGCAGCAAAACACAAATTAAGTGGAATCATTAGATGCTAAGCTGTGGGCAGCAGACTTGATAAAGAAACTCCAGCTAATGTAAGATGTGACATAGTCAGCCTTCCTCTAAATCAACCTTAAATCATAGAATCGTTTAGGTTGGAAAAGACCTTTAAGATCATCAAGTCCAACCGTTAACCTAGCACTGCCATCCCACCACTGAACCATGTCCCTAAGCACCTCATCTACCCATCTTTTAAATACTTCCAGGGATGGGGACTCCACCACTTCCCTGGGCAGCCCATTCCAGTGCCTGACAACCCTTTCTGGGAAGAAATTTTTCCTAATGTCTGACCTAAAACTGCCCTGGTGCAACTTCAGACCATTTCCCCTCATCCTATTGTCCGTTACCAGGGAGAAGAGGCAGACACCCATCTCACTACAGCCTCCTTTCGGGTAGTTGTAGAGGGTGATAAGGTCTCCCCTCAGTCACTGAACTAATAACACAGGGCAAATGAAATGCAGGTGCTTATACATCAATTTGTTTAAAAGTTCAAGTGCTTTTTGCAAGGACAACTGCACCTGTACTTCACCTGACATTTCCCCTAGATGTGGTACTCTTCCTCACCATCTGTCTTTGTACCACCATGGTACCTGACACCAAAAATATGTGTGTTTCAGGATACAAGTTTCATGATTTTTTGATATACTGAAGCACAATCTCCAGCCATAATTTGGGTTTCTCCCATCAATAACTACAAAGCTGTTTTCTCTGCTCTTTCATTTGCCCCTCAGATTTCACCATTTTTTTCAGTGCTGACCTCACAGCTTCTGTGTGATTCACTATCTTCTGCAAATTAGAGCTTCATGGCTACCTACAAGTCTACAAGATTTTCAGTAAAACCCAATTCTTCCAGAATTTCTTAATTTCTCCTTTGTTGTAATTCTTTCTTGATCCACTTTTCTAACAATTTAGCTTTGATTTAGAATTCCTGTATAATTGAGGTCCTAATTCTGCAAACACAAATGCAACACAACTAGACGTCTGCAAATACAAACCTCTAGTGTTTCCATGGTTTTCAACAGTGGATCAAGAGTTAAGGATAACTTTGTTTACTCAACCTTCCTCATTCCAAATGATAAAGGGTAGGTGTTTCACTGCACATAATAAAGCAATATTGCTTTCATTACCTTGCCTTTATATAATGCTACCTCCGTCATTTGTGCTTGAGAATCCTTTGGAACTGAAGCCGTGAAAAGCCAAAATCAGGACTCAATAGTCAATTTGCCAGACTATCAAGCAGGTATTCTTTATTGCTGCAGCAGATGCACAGGGGATCGCTCCTCCTAACGTGCATGCTGACTGTAAACCAAGTCATAATTATATTGTCATATCACATACGTATGCATTACATTCCTCGGAAAAGGCAGGGATAGGTAAATTAATTCCCGGAAATCATTTACATATTCTCCTCCCAGTTGCACATGCTGAGTGTTTTGAGTCGGTGGTCTTCAGGGGTCGTTTACTTCATCCACTCCTCCTCTTCACCTTGTCCTTTTGGTGAACTCCAGCTTCTACGCCCCTTATTCCACTGTCAGAAAAACACAGCCGGTACCAGCCGGCTCCCCATCCTTGGCTATCCTCTTATCAACAAAGTGTTATTAGACGTTTTGTTCCCCTACGTGCCTTCCAAGGCCAGCAACAAAGGTGGGCCATTTGCTACAAATCTCTCCTCTTTCACATTCCCTACATTGTTAGTTTCTTATCTATAGTTTCTTACTTCATATGGTTAGTAAATTAATCTAAAACACAATGCTAGCAATTTAAGCTGGATCTTTCTCAAGGATTCTGTTTCCTCAGGGCTCTTGTCACATTCTAGCTACAGTTGGCTTCACAAAGGTCTTTTTGTTAACCCTTTAGCATCCCTTCAGAACAAATGAAGATCCTGCAATCAGTACAACTAACAGTACTACCTACCAGCACTGCCTGCTGCAGTACAGCGGGCCTATGCTGGTTTTGTTCACTATAGTGTTTTCATGTCAATGCAGGCACATCAAAAGGCTTTTTTTACAGAATCATAGAATGTTTTGGGCTGGAAGGGACCCCTAGGAGCCATCTAGTCCAACCCCCCTGCAGTGAGCAGGGACACTGCTAACTAGATCAGGTTGCTCAGAGCCCCATGCAACCTGGTCTTCAATGTTTCCAGGGATG